CGCTGCACCGGCACCGGCACGGCGAGGCCCGACTCCGCGCTGGCTCAGAGCCCTGCCGGCCCCGAGACGTGTGCCCCGTGTGTGCCCCGTGTGCTTCCCGCGTGCACCCCGCGTGCCCCCACCCCGCATCCCGGTGCCCCGCATCCCCATACAGCCGCCACCCTCCCTCCATTCTGCTCGGTGCGACGAGGCCGTTTCCAGCACAGCGCCCTCTGGCGGCAGCGCTGGGCACGTAACTCGCTGCTGACTACACCCCGCAGTCCCGCCTCAACCCCCCCGCGCCCTGCGCATAGCGCTCACCGCTCGGCTCTCTGCGCACGCTCCTTCTTATGTCACCGATCGCGCGCCTGCGCGCTGAGGAAAAGTGCTCCGCGCTCGCGCAAAGCGGCCGCCGGCTGCCTGGCGCATGCGCAGAGCCTCCCGCTCCCTCCGCGCCGGCCGCCACCGGGCCGGGAGCCCAGAGCGGCTCCTCGCGGCGCCGCCGCCATGAACGCGGCACAGGGCACGGTGGGCAGCGATCCCGTCATCCTGGCCACCGCGGGGTACGACCACACGGTGCGCTTCTGGCAGGCGCACAGCGGCATCTGCACCCGCACCGTGCAGCACCAGGACTCCGTATCCTGCCACGGGGCGGGCGCCAGCGGGGGGGAGTACCTGCGGAGGGGGGAGTCCGGTGTGACACGGGGTTACGGTGTGACACGGGGGGGGGTCCAAGCTTGAGAGAGGGGCCCGGTTTGGGTGGTCGTGGTGCTGCAGTGGGATCTCTGTGTGATGGGAGAGGGAGTGTTTGTGTGACAAGGGATTCCTGCTGTGGGGTCCCGCTGCTGCCCTTAGCACCGCCGGCAGCAGGTGAACGCCCTGGAGATCACGCCCGACCGCAGCATGATTGCGGCTGCAGGTGAGCCCCGGGGTGCTGGGGGTCACTGGTACCCCCCGCACCGCTGAGCCTTATTTGCCCCCGCAGGGTACCAACACATCCGCATGTACGACCTCAACTCCAACAACCCCAACCCCGTCATCAACTACGACGGCGTGAGCAAGAATATCACCTCCGTCGGCTTCCACGAGGACGGCCGCTGGATGTACACGGGTGGGGAGGACTGCATGGCACGGATATGGGACCTCAGGTGAGGACAGGGCTTGCTGAAGGGGGACGTTCCTCTGCAGGCTCATGTGGGCTCATTCAGTGTCTTCTTGTTGCAGGTCTCGTAACCTGCAGTGCCAGCGGATCTTCCAAGTGAATGCTCCCATTAACTGCGTCTGCCTGCACCCCAACCAGGTACGCATTTGTCACTGTCTTTCCTGGAAAAGGTGATGCTCGCTAAATGCTTGGGAGTCTGAAGCATTGCTGAGCCCATGGGAAGGCTGATGGTCTTGGTTGCGTGAACTCAGCTCTTGGTGGCTTTGCAGGATCAGCAGCAGCAGCTCCAGCTGCACGTCCATCTGCTCCCTTGCAGAGCGGCTGCTGCATGACCAGGCTTGGTGCAGGTAGAGTGTGTCCCTGCCCCTGTCAGGGAGCAAACATCCCCGAGCAGGGCTGGCAGCCAGCAGATGTCCCTGGCTTGTGTCCGGCTCATTCTGCACGTGTGCTGCAGCCATGGGACTCTGCTGAGCTTGTTTGTGCTAATTAACCTGCTGGCTGTTGGACGGAGACAGCACAGTGCCTCTCGTCCCACTCTCATCCCTTTGAGACCATCCCATGAATAAAACCAGATGTGATGGGAGGGCAGCAGGTGGCACGAGAGGGGATAGCACTGCCAGCAGAAAAAAGCAGAGGCCAAGAGCCCCATTTAGGTCTGTGGTGTCTTCAGGGTTTGCTGGAGATCCACCACTCAGTTCAGAAGCTGTCAGAGAGGTCGCTTAGGCTAAGGAAATGAAGCTAATGGGGGTGGTGGGGATGCATTAGTGGGCATGGTGGTGAAAATCGATGCGTATCATTGCAGTGTTTGTAATGCATGTGGTCCATTTTGTATCCATGGTGCTGCAGGGTGGGAGCTGCAGACAAAGCAGCATAAGGTTGTTTTTTTTCTCAAAGCAAACCTTTTTAAAAGATGAATAATAGGAATGTTTCTTTGCTTTTGATTTTTATAAAAGCTCAGAATGCTGAGTTCTGCACTAAATGTGAGATTGGTCATTTGGAACAGACTTCAGCCAAATGTTGCTGCTGCAGCACCATAGGACTCAGAATGTGTTGCATTAAAACAAATATTGTACATAGATCATGCATGCAAAATAATCACTATGGCTGTGTTACTGAAGGAGCAATGGCTTGTGAACAGGACAGTTAGTTAGCCCAGAGGTGGCAGTATTTAATCAGATAACTCCGTCCTTGTCTGTGCAATTCATGCTGCGGAGCTGCTGACTCTCGGAGGGATTTCTCATGGCCTGGGTAAAGCTGTGGCAATGTTAGAATTGTTCTTGCAACTGCTGCTAAGAGTGGACTAGGAGATGCCCAGGAGATGCCTCTGCACTACACGGTCAGCTAAATATATCAAGGGATGATTGTCTTCCCCAGAAGCAAGCCATTGGTCACAGGTACAGGATTAGCTGCACCCGATGACCTGATCTCCTCTAGGGATTCTGCTAAAATTATGGACAGTGTAAGTCTGTCGATAAAAAGTCCTGGTTTTAATGGAGAGCTGCCAGCATTGTCTGCTGCTCTGAGCAGCAGGGATTGGAGCCAGAGCTGCTGCCCTTCAGCTGGCTCCTGGAGCAGGGGAGAGAGAGAAGAACCCACTTAGGCTTGTGTTCTTTAGGTGTCTGTATGCTCTTGAGTGCTTCAGCTGTTTACTGGCCAAACTACATCCTCGTACTCTCTGCTCAGACATGCTGTAAATCATTTGGCCTTTGTTGATGCTGTTTAGCTTCTGCTCCAAACAACAGTTCTGGAAACCAGGCACCTGTTCTCTGCAGTAGGGTTAATAAAATTAGCAAACACTTCTGTTAAGTTAAACAGCCTTTTTGCACAATGCAAGGTAAGACTGATGCCTGGTTTGCTGTCAGCGCATGGGGAGCTCAGCAGGCTGCAGTTTGCCTACGAGCAGGAGCTTTGAAACTATTCCCAGCAGCAAGCAGAGGCCCAGCTACTAGGGAGTAGTCCATTGGAAGGGGACCCCAATGCTTTAAAGCAGAGCAGGGCTCTGGTGCTGGAGGGGCTGGTTCTGGACCTCGGCTCCAAGGCTGCTGTTTGGGAGGTTCTTCCCAGAGGGACACAGTCACTGTTTTCTTTCAGGCTGAACTAATTGTGGGTGACCAGAGTGGGGCCATTCACATCTGGGACCTGAAAACAGACCACAATGAGCAGCTGATTCCAGAGCCTGAAGTCTCCGTGAACTCTGTGCACATTGACCCTGATGCCAGCTACATGGCAGCTGTAAACAGCTCGGTGAGCTTGGGCATGGGATGGGATTTACAGTTCTGGGTTGTCTTTGTGGGGCAGAGCAGCCAGTTTCCATGCACTACAGTTTTGCTCTGCTGTGATGGGACGCAGAGTCTGGGCTGCTTTTGGCTGAGGGCCTCAAAGCCAGCTACAGACCTCGCATCTCCTCACAGGGAAACTGCTACGTGTGGAACCTGACAGGTGGCATCGGAGAGGAGGTAACCCAGCTGATCCCCAAGACCAAAATCCCAGCACACAACCGCTACGCCCTGCAGTGCAAATTCAGCCCCGACTCCACGTGAGTGTGCTCCTCCACCAGATCAGTTCAGCTTGAATCTCGTAAGGCAGATGATATGGGGGAAAGAAATCTGATTACTAAGTACACAGGGCTTCAGTTCATTATTGCTCCAGGCCTGCATTAATGAGGCCTTTAAATGTACAGCATGACTAATAAGATTACCTGTGCCTATCATATCCTTGCAGGCTCTTGGCTACCTGTTCTGCAGATCAGACATGTAAGATCTGGAGGACTTCAAACTTCTCTTTGATGACAGAGCTGAGCATTAAGAGCAATAACCCAGGGGAAACCTCTCGTGGCTGGATGTGGGACTGTGCTTTCTCTGGAGACTCACAGTACATTGTCACAGGTGAGATCCTCCTTTCCTGCCTGCAGGCTGGTGGGGCAATGCTGGATGGTGACACAGGACCTAGCAGGTTCTCTTGGTGGAACACTGCCAAACCCTAGAGCACCCGTGTATGTAAGAAAATAAGACTCCTCTGTTAGAGCACCCAGTCTTACGCCCACTGCACTGTATGAAATCCCTCCAGCTTTCAGCCTGTGCTATAATAGGAGGCAACAGATGCTCTGTTAAAACTGGAGAGATGATCCTCTTGTGCAGTTCATTTCACCTGGTAGACATGCTGCTTGCAGCATTTGCAGTACAATAGTTCTTTCAAAACGTTATAATTTCCACAGTAATTTCTGTCTGAATTACTGAAAATCCCAATGCAGAAACACCAGGTTTCTTGCTCTGCACAGGTCCCTTGCCTATCACCATCAATGCTCATAACTGTCAAATGAAGCAAGAGGACAGTATTTCTTCTAATAAAAAAAAAAAAAAAACAAACAACTTGAAGTGTAACAATATCTCTCCCTCCTCTTTTCTCATTCTGTTCCAGCCTCTTCAGATAACTTGGCCAGACTGTGGTGTGTTGAGACTGGAGAGATCAAGAGAGAATACAGTGGGCATCAAAAAGCAGTCGTCTGCCTTGCTTTCAATGACAGCGTATTGGGATAATGATTGTATTGGAACAAAAGGACCTCTGCTTGTTTTCCCTTGTCTGAAAACAGCCAGCACCCTCTCTGGACCCTGAGATGTGCTTGTAGCCATCCCCATTCCCCTGGTGGAGAGGACTCACTCTGGCAGCTGCCTGGAGCAACACCAGACTTCAGCTTCAGGCAGACCATTACTGAAATGTGTTTGGCCTCCCAGGGAGGCAGCTGGGACAAAAGGGAATGGGAGGCACAGGGCCACTGAGGGGAGCTGGGTGCAGAGCAGCTGCTGGAGACATCCCTGTGGCTTTTGCTGTTGACAGCCTTGTGATTTTTTTTTTTCTCAAAGTGGAAAAAATCAGCCTTTCTAAATGATGGAATGGGCTGAACAGAGAGGAAAGGCGGCTGCTTTCTTGTTTTGCAGTCCCTTTATTCAAACATGTATTTCACAGACTTTCTTGGAGATCTGCTCTCTTAGAAAACCACCACCCCCAGCAAGTATAACAACCCAGTATCGAACAGGGCACGTGGCCACAAAACACAAGCTACTCCATGTGGTTCCTCTGTCTAGATCTACTGCCTACATACAAGATGCAGCCCTGGGTTGCAGCGGCAAATAAAGTTCTGTACCAACAGCGCTGAGCAGAGTTGCTTTACCTAAATTCTTCTGAACGGCAGCATGAAATCAGTAGGAAGCTTTTAGGCAGTGTTGTAGATGTTACCTTCCTTGCTGAAATCAGAGGCTTTTCAGGAATACAGTTCAAGTATGTAGAGCAGTGAGAGGGCATCTGTGGCTGCAGGGCTTAATCAGGAAGGTAATAGAAGCAGATAGACACACAAATATTGCTTGGAAAACATATGTCAATGCAAAGGTAGATCAACCGCTGCTTCCCTGGACCTGCCAAATGAGCAAGGACAAGAAACATGGTGAGAGGAATGCTTTTGCAGCCCTGTAGCTATGAGTCTCTAGAGAGCCAAACTCGTGGAATGCCTCAGGGAATGACCTTTCTCATTAAAGCACCAGGGTGAGAGCTGCAGATTGCCTCTAGGGAAAGTGAAGGTGACAGGTGTTAAGCCAACAGCATCGCAGAGAGCCAGAGCCGTGCTGCTCAGGGAAGGGGCACAGAGCCTCCAAGCAGCACTGCATCTCACTGCGGGTTGTGGGTGTGAGCCAGCAGTTCAGCAATGGCTGAACAATGGCCTGATTTTGAAGCAGAGGTCACCTGTCCCTGCCTTGGCAGCCCATTCACTTTTGTGCAGCACAGACCTGCTCTTATTGAGGTCCTCAACCAAAGTTGCTTTCCTCTTCTGCAAAAGGAGATGCAGCTTACCATCTGCTCTCTGGACCCAGAAGATGGACGTCTGCTCACAGAGAGCTTGGATGGCCTCACCCAGGCCGTTGGGGTCCACTTGTTTCCCTGCCACAATGCCCAGGAACTCCCTGTAGTACTTGGTCTGGTTATTCCGGAGTAGCAGTTTGTCACCCTGGAAAAAAAAAAAAAAAAAGCCCTGTTATTTCCCCCAAGCTCCTAATTGCTCCTTCAGCCTGAGCCCGGCTCCCACATCCAACTCACCCAAAAAGTGCCTCACATTAAGCGAAAGCACTCATTAAGGAGCCCCAGTTCCTGGCAGCTGCTTCCGTCCCCATCCATCCCTTTTAGAACTCAGAGCTGGCAGTTCCTATGTTTCTCTGTCCCGGCTGGGTTGGGGCAGTCCTGGTCTGAGGAAAGGGAGCAGCTGGCAGGGGCACAAAGCAGGCATCTGGCTGCTTGAAACAGGAGCTCTGCCCCCTCCATGCATCCATTAGCAGTTTGCTCAGAGGGTCTGTATACGTGATCGACTTCAATTTTCTTCCCTGCACACTGCTAACAAAACCTTTTTGTTTCCTTTTCCCCAGAATTTTGAGCAGGTAACCAAATACAGTGGGATTGGGTTCTGTGAAAGCTCTGCTATTCACACCTGTGGGACATAGCCCCCTTCCCCAACCCGCAGCTCTGCTCTTTCTCACAGATGGACTCTCAGCAACACTGGGAGCTGTCTGCATCCTTCCTTAGAGCCCTGTGGAAATCAAAGCATTGCCCAGAAGGCACTGTCCTTGGCAGGGAGAGCAGTCAGTATGCCAGGGCTCTATGCAAGTCCCTACTTCTGCCCAAGCAACTCTTGCTGCCCATCACTCACCCTCTGCTCAGTTGCACTCAGCATCACCTGTGTGGTTTCACGGTCCTCAGGGTCCATTGTGCGCAGGTAGCAGGCATGCTGCTCTGCAGGTCTGTAGCACACGTAGCCCTGGGAGACAGATGTGTCTTACTACAGCAAGCAGTGCTGCCCAGGAGCATTATTTCCCCCCTAACAAAGCATCAACTGCTGTGGCCATGCTGTGCCCAGTGCATCCTGAGCAGACTGTGGCTGCTTATCTCCAGTGTGATCCTGCAGCTCTGCACGGTGCTGGGGATGCAGACGGAACAGCAGCAGGTTGTGCTTTCCTGCTTTGCACCCAGACCCCAGCAGCAGGACACCATGCAGCACACTCACATGCTGGCTGTCGTACAGCACAATAGCACTGCGGTTACTCCGTGAGGTGATGTAATAGGTGACAGTGCTCCTGGACACATCAACTGTGGCTGTTTGGTTCCTCGGCACGTCCTGCTCCCCATGCAGTGTGATCCGGCTGAGCTGTGGTCCAGCCTGGCACAGAGACAGGGCAGTGGTGCCATCAGATGTTCAGCACCCACACACACACCCCGTCTCCCCTCCTGCATACCCACCCTGAATGTTTTGCTGCTCTATACTGCCTGGCGGAGTCCATTAGCAAATACAGCAACATGCTGGGAGCTGCGTGCTTAGCAAAATGCCAGCTTGGGTCTAGGTTTACAAATGAAGCGTGGAAGTTCCTCTAATTTAAGCAATGGTTCCTGGCAGCAATGCTGCAGGGTGAGCAGCAGCTGCTCAGCTTGCTGCTTGCCATGCTCTGTAGGCTGCAGGAGCTGCCAGGCACAGAGTGGGCTGTGGACAGGAGGAAGCTCTCTGCCCTGGGTGAGATCCTTACCTGGGCAGAGCTATGGGAGAAGCCAAGAATCCCCCCAACGCTGATGCCAACAGCTGCAAAAAGCAATGTGATGGACAAGATGATCCAGAATGTCCTGGGAGGGTTTGTGAATCGCGCTGCAAGTCTCCTGCCCTAGAAGCCAAGGAAAACAGGGAAAGAACAGGAATTAAAATTAAAGCTTCTGCTGCTTTTATCCTTCCCAAATTCAAAACACAATTCCTTGCTCACAAAAGAAATCACTGTGCAATCAGCTGGGGCTGCTTGAGAGCAGAACTGCCGTTTTGCAGCACAGCCCTGTGCTAAGGCTGCCTTCAGCCCCCAGGACGTGATTTGGGTCCTGCTGTGTGTTGTGCCATGCTGGCAAAACAGCATCCCGGCAGCCAGGAATGCACAGCACCCAAAAACCCTGCAGGAGGCTGGAGGAGGACGTGGCCACAGACAGAGTGATGCAAAGCAAGCAGTTACTTGAAGCAAAATAGCTTGGTGGTCATGCTAGCACTTCCCATGTCTTGATATAAAAATCACTTTAATTTTTATATTTAAACCATTTAACTTAATGGCACACAAAATCATTTTTACAAAGCGGAAGAAATGAGCTTTCAGCAAACCACAACTGTGCTTTTAAAAAGAAAAGAAGTTTAAATACTCCGAAGAACAGAGAAATTCAGTCAATTTGCAGGGTTAGATTTGCTGCGGGCCCATATATGGGCTCTGCAGCCTCCACGTCTGCAGCTGATTGTTCTCAGCACTGTGTGATTCCCAGATATATTCCACCAGGACAGCAGCGAGCTGTAATCAAGTTAGAGCTGTGCACAGCTGGAGGCTCATCAATTCAAATGCAATTGTGCCTCAAAGCCCACAGTAATGGGGAGATTCTCAACAGCCAGCAAATTTCCCCCAAGTGGGAAACCAGCGAATGAGCACAGGGGCAGGCAGACACTCAGCTCCCTGAGAAGAAGCATAGATACTGAGCAAGCACTGAACGAGAGCCCTGTGTGATCCTTTAGGGACCAGGGATACTCACTGCAGAGACAGCGTCGCTGGGGCTGTTCCCACCCTCCATCCTCCACTTCAGATGACAACCTTGCTCCTGCAGCTCTGTGTCCTGCTGATGCACAGACTGGGCATGATCTTGAGCTCCGAACGTGCTCAGGAAACTTAAGCACACACCTGCAAAACGTGAATGCGCGATCCTTGTGGCCAAAGGAGTTCCAGCCAGGTGCTCTTCAGCTCAGACCTGCGAGGAGGATGAAACCTTAGAGCTGCAGCCAGGGGAGAGGAGGAAGGAGGGGGGACAGCCAGGGGTGCAGAGTTATACTGTCAGTGGTAGAGAAGCACTCTTCCTGCTTACCTTGTGAGCCAGCTGGAGGCATGCAGGTGGAACATAATTGAGGGCTTTGTGCAGGGCCTCCCTGCTGGCAGTCCCCAGTAGCAGGACTGGGTGAGTCTCATTAAGAGATAAAATGAATAGAGAAAAGTGGCAGCCTGCCCTTGTCATCAGTTATTTCTACGTTTCAGCATGAACTCTGTGCTGCCAGATCCCCATGGGCTGAAGCCAACTGTTTATCCTGCAGACTGCTGCACTGCAAGCCTTGGCTGCACACACATTTGTGTTCCATATACGATTCTTTACTTGTCTTGATCCCAGACATGAGCTGCAAAGTCACCATCACATGAGCTGTGCTCATGCAAACACACTTCTGTGATGGGAAATACCTCACAAGAGCTCCCAGCTCAGATCAGTTTTCCTGGGCAGTTCAGAAACTCCTGTGAGAGGTTGGTATTTCTGAGCTGCCAGCCAGGAATACCTGGTCTAGTATTAAATGTGGAGGTTGGCAGCCCTGCCTGCAGCAGGGCGGTTGGAGCTTGATGATCCTTGAGGTCCCTTTCAATCCAAGCCATTCTATGATTCTACGAATAACCAAAGCCAAGGAGGCAAGGGAAATCCCAACAGAACTCCTCCATGTGGCACTGAACGGGATGACAGCTTTTGGACACCTCAAAAGCATGGCCCAGGATGGGTCACAGTCAAGAGGACTTAGCCCTGAGCTTCTCACCATTGCAGCAACAGCCATGCACTCCCCTCCGTTCGTGCTTTCTGTGCTTCCTTCTGCAAGTCAAAGCCTATTTGAGAAGAGAGCAGCACAATCTCCTAGCACGCTGCTTCTGGGGGACATGACTGCTCAGGTGCAATCAAACACCAGGTCAGCATGCCCCAACCAGCCATCTCAGACACTTGGTGTCCTGTGCTGCTGTTTTCTCTGATGCAAACAGGAACGATGCTGAAACAGTCTGACCACCAATTCTCCTTCTGCAAATGGAGATGTTAGAGAAAACATGAAGCAAACCTCCCACTGCAGTCCACCAGCTGCTTCTGCTGCAAAGCTTCTGCTGCAAAGCTTAGCACCCCAAATTGCAACACAGAAACAGCATGATCCCCATACTGAGACTTTCCATGTCCAGGCAGCAGAGTAAGAAGTTTATACCATGCCTAATCTAAGGCACAGGAATGAAACAATATCTACAAAATGTGGTGAAAACATCAGCATGAAGGGGAATCATTCAGCTCTGTGCTGAACAAACGTGATTCAAGCCAATGCTAAGAGTTCCATACAGCTCCAGGCACCCAAACAGAAGCTATGTACTGGAGGGCTGGCTTTATTCACTGATACTCTACATAAGGAGCAGAGACAGTCAACACAAACATATCCTTAACTCCCAGAATTTCCACCAGAGCACACAAAAGAGACTACAAAATAAGACAATGCAAGGGAAAAGCAGGTTTGCAAGTTTAATGTGAACTGAAGTAGAGGCTTAAAAACTGTTGGGAAGTTGATACAGAGTTCTGAAGCACAACTGACACCTTCAAGAATACATTTCAGCATAAGGGAATCGAGGTATGGGTTGTACAGTGAACAGTGCTCAACAGGGACAGCGTGCTGCACCAAGAGGCTGAACGCCTCACCTGGCATGTACTGGTTTACTTGACATATTCTGAGATTAGAAGCACCAAATGCAGGAAGTGAACTGAAGAACACATCGAGTCGGATCCTACCTGCAGTAAACCCACAATGTCCATTTCTGTGTAACCCAGGTAACATGAAAGTTTTCCTGACTTTTGCAAACCTTCTTGGATAGAGACGAGAACAGGGAAGAGGTTATTTGTGCTTCCTTACACAACTCTGAATTATGGAAGTCTTTTACAAGATCCAGCTAATACTTTCATAACAGTGAAAGACAATATGGGCTGCACAGTTATTGCTGTACCAACAAGGTGGTAAATCTACTCATTTCTAGTGTCTGAGTGGAGGGAAACGGCATTGATACAGCCAGAGCTATTCAACCCAACAATGGGAAATGAAGGAAGGTCAGTGCTTAAATTTAACTGACAACAGTTGAATCTATACATAAAATAACATTATTTGCATATATAATTTTTCACTTGATTCTGCAATACAAAAGCTTGGAACCGTAGCCTTCAAGTTAGCCTGCATAAAAATCTGTCCCATAGCCTGAGCTATGCATCACACAAAAGCTACCTAGGGATCAAAATAAAATCATTACCTGAGCAAGCAAACTCTTCAGCCAAGCAGCTTGTGCCAGGCACCCACACCAGCCACACAAGGAAGATATTAAATTCAGCTATTTAAAGGAAGCACGTGCTGTCGTCATATATAGTTGGTTCTCTTCCAGGTTTATTTCAGTGGAGAGCTGAAATGGGGGGTTCAACAGATGTAGACTGAGCTGTGACTCACTGAGGGAAGAACGGGAGCGAACCTGGAGTCTGATCAATCCAGTTACTGCTGGGGACAGCAGGAGTGAAGGACAGTCCTATATGGTTACATATTTTCTGCATTACCAAATGCATAAGCTTAATGAGAGTCAAAACTTTTGTGATCAGTGAATTACATTCCTCATAGCTTCCCTTCTGGGAAAGAAGATATATTATCATATACTATACTTAAATTTATATTTTAAATATATTCTGACATAGAGTTAGGATTAGGGTAGTTCTTGTATGTACATGTACTTTACACATACACCCAACACCCGGACAACTACAGTATACAGAAGACACCACTCGTATTTTGCATGTGGAATCACCCTAATCTGCATTACAAGTGCAATTTGTAACGGCCACATAAAGGAGACCGCTTTCAGTTCCTAAGTCACACTTAGAGTGGGCCATACTGCAGAACAGACCCAATCTGGGGTTAAAATAAATCAATCCAAAGGCCAAATACTAATTCTGTCAGCCACTGCAAGCATTTCCAAGCACAGCTGCTAAGTTACTAGACACTCCAAAAGTCATTTCCCTGAATAAATCAGACTGAGCCACAGTCTGTCCAGGAGGACATGCTGCAAGTTGCTGGGTTCTCTTCCTCAGCTCTATTGGCTCTGCTTTCCTCACCTCAGTCCAGAGGACAACATGACACTGAGTATCACAAATGTTTGGCTATACGTGTTGCTTATCATTTAAAAAAAAAAAAAAAAAACAAAACAAAAAAAACCTCCAAACCCACAAGACTTGGGTGACACCATAATGCCCTCTTTGTTTCAAAGTGCATTTTAAAAGACCAAGATGTAAACAAAATCATACCAAGAGGACAAAAGGGTTAAAAAGCTAAGGGCTGCTAATTTCAGGTGGTATCATAGCAAGTACGTTACTGTCACGAGATGATTAATTGGGGCCCTCCTCGGGGTACGGCTCCCAAGACTGCCAGCGTTCTGCTCTATTAATGCTCGAGTGCAGGAAGAAGGTCGGCTATGCTATCAACATAGTAATCAGGCACCAGGCTCTGCCGGGCAGGGCAGTCACTCTCCTGGTGCCCTCTCACTTCCTCCAGCGTGCTGACCCCGGTGAGTGTCAGCAGCGTGGTGAGGCCGCAGGTGTTGCCCATGAGGATGTCCGTGTCCAGCCGATCCCCCACCATGATGGTGCGTGCAGGGTCGATATCAAACTCGCTGGCCACGCAGTCAAATATATAACGGCTGGGCTTCCCGACGATGAAAGCCTCGCGCTCTGCTGCTGTCTCCACGGCTTTTACCAGGCAGCCGGTCCCTGGTGAGGAGAAATATCGATTAAGGACTGCAAATGACTCTCAGCACCCGCAGGAGATGGCACCCGGTTAAAATCATGTGGGTACTTCAAAAACCCAGGTTTGCACAGAGGGCTTCAGAACTTCACGCCCAGTAATTGAAAGCCTGCTAGGAGGGGAGGGACAACTCGCACCGAAATAAAGCAGGGACCGCCATGCCCGTTGGAAAATAAATCACAAAACAGCCCGGGCTGGAAGGGACCCGTACGGATCATCGAGTCCAACTCATGGCTCCCCGCAGGAACACTCAACAACCAGACCAAGAAGCACGGCGAGGAGCCGCCGCCCCAAAGCAAAGCCGCAGACAGGAGCGGCTCTCTCTGTCCGGGCGCCACCCCCCACCCCGATCCCCGCGCCCGGTACCGGGGATGGCGGAGCCGCCCTCCAGCGGCAGGCGGTGGTCTCGGTTGGTGCCGACGAGGAGGCAGTCGGGGCCGCGCAGGAGGTAGCGCAGCGCCTGGCACAGCTTGGCGTAGCTGAAGTGCTCGTCGAAGCCCACCAGCACGGCGCGCACCGCCGGCTCCAGCGGCGCCTGGGCCCAGTCTGCGGGCGCGGGGCCGGGCAGGGCGGCGGGGCCGGGCCCGAAGTGCGGGATCCCGGCGGCCTCCAGCTCGGCGGCGAGCGCGGGGCTGCCCAGCACGTAGGCGGAGGCGCCGGGCGGCAGGGCCTGGCGGAGGTAGCGGGCGGCGCAGAAGGCCGAGCCGAAAACGTGGCGGGGCTCGGCGGGTGGGAAGCCGAGGCGCCGCAGCTTCTCGGTGTAAGCGACCCGCGTGCGGCTGCTGTTGTTGGTCACGTAGCACAGCCGCTTGCCCGCCGCCGCCAAACGGCCCAGGGCCGCCGGCGCGCCGCTCAGCGCCGCCTCGCCGCGCCACAGCACGCCGTCGCAGTCGAACAGCAGCGTGTCGACATCGGCCAGCACAGCCCGGGCCGTCTCGCCCTCCAGCCGCCGGCACCGCCGCCCGCCCGTCGCCGCCATGGCCGCCTCACCGCGCTTCGGAGCGATGCCCGCCCCCCCGCCGCTCCCATTGGCCGCGCTCCGCCCGGCCTTCGCTCCCATTGGACGGAACCGGCCTCCCGAACCTTTCCCCGCCTCGCCGCGCGGCCGGCTCCGTCCGCTCTTACTGGGCACCCTCCTTGCGGCCTCGCCCCCCACGCGCCGCGGTTGGCCGGCAGCGGGTGGTCATCCGAGCCCGTTGGGCGGCCCCGCCGCCTCGCGTAGTAACTCGTTAGGCTCGGGTTCATGGGGCGCGGGGTCAAAGGTCAGCGGAGGGCACGCGGAGGCGCCGCCCGAAGGCCGTCGGACCGACAGCGCTCCCGGAACTCCCGTTCGGGGCCGCGTTCCCTGCCGAGCCCCTGTGGCCGCCGTCCCGCGGCACGCGGCCCGTTGTTATGACGACACGGCCGTAAAGCCGCCATCTTGGCGGTGCGGCGCGTTGCGACATGGAGGCCGCGGTGGCAACGAGCGCGGGGCCGGCGGCGCTTACGGCAGCCGCGGCCGAGGAGCGGGAGGGGGCGGCGGCCGCGGGCTCCGGGCCCGGCGCCGGGTCCGGCGCCTTCCTCGGCCTCCCGGCGCCTTTCGGCGAGGAAGGTACCGGAGGGGCCCGGGCGGAGCGGGGCCGGGGGGCGGCGGGGGCCCGGCCGTGACGGGCCCGGTAGGAGCGCCCGCAGCTCCGGTTTGGGCGCGATCCCCGCGATATCCGAACCCGCCGACCGAATTTACGTTGCAGACGAGGATGACGTGCACAAGTGCGGGCGCTGCCAGGCGGAGTTCACCTCCCTGGAGGAGTTCGTGCAGCACAAGATCCAGAAGCGCTGCCAGCGCGGCCCGGAGCCGGCCCTGGGCCCCGAGGAACAGAAGGTGACAGCGGGTCCCGGTGCCCGTCCCGAGGGTTGAGGGCAGCGCTGTGACTTCGGAGGGCTCTGCCCCTCCTGCTGACACCATCTCCGCCCCTACAGGTCGTTCCCGCGGTCGAGGAGTCCATAACCGTTGCTCATATCGTGGTTGAAGCATCCTCGATAGCAGAGGAGATCGGCAATGCGTCAGCTATCGTAGGTGAGTGTGGTGCTGCCTTTGTGGCCCTGTGTTAGGGGGTGGTTCGCTTTTCCAGCATCCTTCCCTGTGTTGTCTGTGCTGTGGCTCATAAATGGCATTTCTGTGTTATGCTCTTGGGGCTGAGCATTATTTTCAAGATGCAAAAGCCATTTTTAGATTTAAGCTTTCACTCCAAAACGTCTATTATAATATCAATAATACAAACTTTACAAAGACAAGCGTTCCGGGGTTAAAGCATCTGTTTTTTCCTTCCTTTCCTACCACTTGAAATTCTGGAGCAATACATTGATCCTAGGTAGGCATGTAAAGCTGCCTTTTGTACAGAACGGTCTGTGTCCTTTTCCCAGGTAGCGGGCACATAAAAGAAGTCATCGTGGCAGGAGACCACGTTTTTGAAAACCCAAATGGTCACGTTGATGGTGATGTCACTGAAGAACAAGGCAACCCCGACGATCAGGAGCAGGATATTGCCACAGAGCTGATAAAGGTTAAGCTTCTGGTCAACAAAGAAGGGCGGTATGTGTGTGAGCTGTGCCAGAAGACATTTAAAACGGTAAGTGTAACTTCTATGCCGTTTGGGTTAGCACTAAATTGAGGCTAGCTGTTATACTAAGGCAAGACTTGATAACAACATGCTTTTCTACAGTGTGATATACTTTGAAATTAGAACCTTTGAAAAAGAACACTTTTGCTCTTTATCACAGAAATATTTCACTTGTTGAAACTTCTTTCAAAATGTGATTTCTATCCCAGGCAAGCATCCTCAAAGCTCACATGATCACTCACAGCAGCAGAAAGGACTATGAATGTAAACTCTGTGGAACTTCCTTTAGGACAAAGGGGTCTCTGATTCGACACCATCGGCGTCATACTGGTAAGAGAACTTCAAATTGCCCCTTGTTGCTGGGGTGCACTGTGTGTTGTTATCCAGCATACTTTAGAATGGAGTTTATTGCTGCTTTCCATCTTCCACTGAGCTGAGTTGAGGCTGTTGAGTTCCCCGATGTCTGGGATGCTGGGAGGCAGTGCAGGGTTGTGAGATAAGCGTAATCTGCTTGCTGTAAGTAGTTGAAAGCACTCTTCTGTAAGTCCGTCACACAGAACTTAAACTGGCAGCTGTTGGTTTAATACTGTTATTTTGATTCTTGTCATTCCCAGATGAAAGACCTTACAAATGTAAAAAATGTGGGAAAAGCTTCCGGGAATCAGGAGCGTTGACTCGGCATCTGAAATCTCTGACACCTTGCACTGAAAAAATTCGCTTCAACATGAACAAGGAAATAGTAGTCAGTAAAGATGATCTGCCCGCAGGTCAGTGATGCTGTGAATAACTGCCTTGTGTCTGATAAAACCAAGCATGCTCCTGGCATTTGAACTATACGTTGTTTTTCTTTTAAGAAACATTTTGCATTGATAGTCAGTTTCTCTTTTACACCAGTCCTTTTTTATATAGATCAAAACTATTAATCCAAAGTGCACATAGTTGATGCCAGGCTCTAAAGAATGTTCGAGAATCCGTTACAAGGATGGTTTTAACAGGCATTTTGTATTCTAAAACACATTTATTGTGGGGTGCAGTAAACGGATGAGGGGTGGGCAGTACATCAGGTGATGCATTCTACTTTTCTTGAAGGATCCTGTAGTTCAAACTCAGAAACTGTTCCATCAATAGCGAGTGAATCCATTGAGACGTCACCTGTGATTCATCTAGTGACAGATGCAAAAGGCAACGTTCTTCATGAAGTCCATGTCCAAATGCAGGAGCTTCCTGTTGTAGATGCAAAATCTCTGGATGAAGATGTGAGTGTTATTTCTCTTGAATATCGTGTATTTTATGCAAGAAGTAGTTTGAAGGGTTTTACCTCATGAAATTTTCTTAGGTGCTAAGTGTAAATCTGTGCAGCGAAAAATAAATGGATAATTAGCTCCTCTCTCATCTGAAAGCAAAGAAGGCAAACTCTTCTTTGACCTTGTTTGAGTGTGGAGCATACATTGAGATGCATAGGGTCCCTTACTGGATGATGCAAAATGTGAGAAGCTGTTTACATTGATCATGCACTGCTGCAGGACGCTGACAGAAGCAAAAGCTTTTCCTCGAATGTTTTAAGAGTACAGACTGGTCTCATCTTCCCAGTTGAAGATCATTCTCTTTTTGATTTTTCATCCAAATATGTCAAAAGCAGCCTGTGCATTTGTTGTACCAAGTTTTGGACTATTTATTCCTCTAGCAGTCACATCCTAAGGAGCTGCCATGTGAGGGGGAAACAAACAGTGAGAATCTGCTAAGGCAGGCCATGAGGAATTCTGGCATTGTGATAGAGAGAGTTGCTGTGGAAGAAATGCAGAAGGCAGATGAGCCTGCTGTGGCTGCTACAGAAGAAATAAAAAATGAAGTGGTGGAAGCAGAAGAGGAGCCATGTGGGGAACAGCATGCTGAAGTAGAACCATCAGAGCCTGTATGTTTGCACTTTGTAGATTAATTTCTTAATCTTCTGAGCCTGCACTTGGTTGTGAGCAGTAGTGTAATCCTGACCACCCTGCACATTATCTTCCATGCACCTCTCCCTGTCCCTTTGTCTTTGTGCCAACTTTTGTTGCATGCTTTTCATGCATGTTAGTGCAAGCTCCTGTTATCAATATCAATCTTTTTTGGGGAGGGATGAGGGTGAAAGCTGGAATATTTAATTGGGAATTTAGTTATAAATAATTACAGAGCAGTAAAAAAGATATATACCTTGCCATTTTCTTTCCAATAGACAGATGCAGAAAGAACAAATGGCTACAGAAGTTACATTTGTCCTCACTGTACTGAAGCTTTCAGTGAAGCTGCTTCCCTTGAAACGCATATCAAAGGACATTTAGGTAAGGCTGTAACGCCCAGCTACTGTCTAAAATGCATCCTCTCTTACCTCTCTTACTCTCTCAAGATCTTGTGATCTTGAACACAATGTAGTTTTCACTGTTTCACATTCTTTGCTTTTAGACAAACGTCAGCCATACAAATTCTGTTGATGCTTAACACAAAACACGAAAAGATCAGAGCAATGGTTTGTGTTATTCTTTTACACTTTGTTCTAGAGCTTAACAAAAAGGCTCCATGCTTCCGGACCTGCCTGGCATCTGCAGAAATAGATTTTGTGAATTTTGTGAAAAGGCCAATTTAAGCATTAATGACAGAAATGCTTTTCTCTCTCTAGATTACAAGCCTTTTAAGTGTGAAGAATGCGGCAAAGAGTTCACTAAGGGCTACCTGTTAAAAAAGCACCAGGAGGTGCACGTCAACGAACGGCGTTTCCGCTGCGGAGAGTGTGGCAAGCTCTACAAGACTATTGCACACGTCAAGGGGCATCGAAGGGTGCATTCTGATGAGCGACCGTATTCCTGTCCAAAGTGTGGCAAGCGGTACAAAACCAAGGTGTGTCTGCCTTGTGTCAGGCTCGCCCTTAGAGTTTCCTTCCCAGAGCTTGGGTTTGGGATAAGCTAGGAGGCTTCACTGCTGAACAAACAAATGCCAGCTCCTCTCCTCTTACAAGAGCAGAAGACACTTTTGTATCAGTAGGGACAAGAAAGGCAGTCTTAATTCCTAGTTCTGAGGAAACTGTTCCTTCACATATGAAAACAAATAATACAAACATCTTTATCGTGCCTTAGGTGAGAAGTCCTCAAACACGCTGACTTTCACACTGAAAGCTAAAACACTGCTTGCTTGATTTAGGCATTCCCTTTAACTGGTACTTCTCTCTCTACAGAACGCTCAGCAAGTCCACTTCCGTACACATCTGGAGGACAAGCCTTACGTGTGCCAGTACTGCAGCCGGGGCTTTAGGGAAAAGGGCTCCCTGGTCCGCCACATCCGCCATCACACGGGGGAAAAGCCTTTCAAGTGTTACAAGTGTGGGCGAGGCTTCGCAGAGCACGGCACGCTCAACAGGCACTTAAAGACCAAAGGTGAGATGGCCAGGTTTATCTCTGTTGCAGTCAGGGCAGATGCACGTTTCTTCTGGGATCAGGTTTGGACGAGCTGATTCTTGGCAGAATGATGATGATTTTTCTGGGTGCAAAACATTCAGAGTGGTTCTAATGATCTTCATCAAAGGCCATTTATTTATCTGCATCTCTGTTGCATCAAAAGAGGGGATGCAGACTTGTTTTTTTGTTTTTTCCCAATCTACATTAATCAGTAATGAAGCATGGACCTCTTCTAGATCATTAATTGGCTTGGTGGGATTAAAGGCTGCTGATTGCTGGCCATTTGTCAGTGGTATCCTGTTAAAGGGGTCTCATTAGTGTTGCATAGCATTTGCCAGGTATCCCCATATTTGTGTTGGTTATGTAAATTGTCTTTTTATGGCATTTCTGGAATTGCACTCAGGTGGCTGCCTTCTGGCTTTGAAAGAGGTGGAGGAAGTGATGGTGTCTGAGGAAAGCCAGTCAGCTGACAATTTAGCTGCAACAGTCATCTCTGAAGATCCTCATACTGTTTTGGTAGAGTTTTCTTCAGTGGTGGCAGACACTCAGGAATACATCATTGAGGTAAGAAGCAAGCAAGCAGCCTTGTTGTCCTGCACATAACTGAGGCAGGAAAATGAGGATGTGGGGAAGGCTGGCAGTAATTAATTAGAAGGCTGAAACTAAGAACTTCTGACTATTCAAGATCTTCTGACCTCTCACACTTGCTTCAGCTTTCCTTCAACTTCAGTTTATTCTCCCATTTCTAGTTAGCTTATTTTGTCTGAAACAGTTTTTGTGACCATCAAAAAACAACAATTGATGCACTTCGCTTTCTCCTTCTTTGTGACAGGGAGCCAGCTCTTATCTATGCAGAATAACAGTCCATTCATTGAGCCTGTTTAGTGCTGCCATAGTAAACATTGGGGCTGCTACTAATTGGAAAAAAATCTGCCAGTTGGCAGAATCCTGCTGAGAGAGGATGCCCTCTTTCAGTTATTTCTGAGCACTCTGCATTACTGTGAAGTAGCCATTTATAATGGGATTTGGAGAAAAATTTAAGGAGTTGTCTCTAGAGTAGTTACTGCATTGTGGGGGGAAACAGGATGATTTTATAAAAGATCTTGATATTTTTTATCTTGGAAATAGAATTAAAAAAAACCAACAGCAACAACCTAATAATCTAAAAAAGGAATCATGCTATTTTGTCTTTCAAGACTGCTACTGAAGATATGGAGACCAGTGAAGCTACTGAAATAATGGAGGGAACAAGACATGAGGTAAAGCAGCTACTTAAACTGTTCTTTCTGTGACTCCCCTCTGAGTGTTATGAGCTCCTCTGAGTGTCTGGAAGTAATGCTAAATAAGCAGTTCTGCAGACTTGTCTGTATAAAATAATAACAGTGACCATACCAAGTTTGAACAAAGCTCAGTCTAACCCCAGATCCCCTCAGAGATAGAGGCTAGTAACCTGTAGTTCTTAGTACATGAGACTGAAGCTGCTAAGTAGAATTGTACAATGCCACTTCAGCCTTGAGAAATTATCCTCTTTGTGAATTCCTGAAGGCTAGAAATAGGGGCTGTTGCAAAATGAGAGACTCCTCACTTGTAGCCAGCCTGTCTTGAACAACTAAGTGTGCACTGTTAAGATTTTGCCACAAACAGTACTTTAAGTCCAGGAAGTACCCTGTTGGCAAAACACCTTCAGTAACACAAGATACGTGTTATAAGACTCTGCTTTTCTTGGGTTCATGAGAGCTTCAGGGAGCAGCTGGAGGAAATGGGAACTAAACGCTGCTTGCTGTACTGCACTGCTGATCATCAGACATGGTTTTCAGCTATGATGACGACTGTACTTCTAACAGTGCAACACATCAGGAAATAACACAGCCACTTTTCTCATAATGTAGGTTGACAGTCACATTATGAAGGTTGTGCAACAAATAGTAAATCAAGCAAACTCTGGTCACCAGATCATCGTACAGAACGTCACCGTAGCAGAAAACTCTGAAGTCACCACAGATGCTGCAGACACCATCACCATTGCAACCCCCGAAAGCCTCACAGAGCAGGTTGCTATGACGCTGGCTTCTGCCATTGGAGAAGGAGCAGTGCTGACAACAGAAGGCAGCATCGAGACAGAAGAAGCAACAGTGACAATGGTGGCATCAGAGGACATTGAAATAATGGAACATACTGGAGAGTTTGTTATTGCCTCCCAAGAAGGGGAGGTGGAAGTCCAGACTGTGATTGTGTAATGAACAGCATGCAGCTACTGACAGACCTTACACTTACTGTGTGCCTCCAGGCTGGGAAGTTTGATCAGTCCTAGGTTTGCCATTACAGTTGTTCAGAGCAGGAGTGCTTCTATAGGTAAATGGCTTAACAGGGTGGTACAGCCCTGAGGTGTTTTCTGTTTAAAATGGAAATGACAGTAGTTAAAGCCCTCTGCATGGGTTTACTCTGAAAGTGACCACTATGCCATATTTGACAGTCTGTTTTTTGTGCAGCTCCCTCAAATAAAGGAAATTCCTTTGCAAAGCATTTACCTCTGACCACAGAACAGTAGCATCTTGGTGTTTAAGAGGATTCAGAAAGTGAAGCAAGTATGTAGGTCTCATGAGAGATGACTAAAATTAATCGTATGCATTTAAAACAAACCAAGAAAACCAAACCTAAGGAGTTCTGGTGTGCATTTACCACCAGTCAAACGCTTTCATGCCTTTAACCTCACTACTTTACTCCTCCTAAGGCATGGTACTGCAGTATATATATATATTTTTAAAGTATTTTATATCCTGGACAAGTAGCCTTATGTACTGGTCTATAAAGAACACGTCATTGCACCCTTGCAAAGCCAGACAGGCTACTCTGAGAGCTAGCCTGTTGGTGTGTAAAGCCATATTGTACATTAATTTTTTACAGCCATGTATGGATTTGTAATTGCATACTGTACAGATTAGGCATGTAAATACATTTTTAAAAATAAAGTTATTTAAAGTTCTTACTACACTTTTCCTATTATTTCTGCTCTATTATCACTCAGAAGAATTTCTGGAAGGAAAAAAGAACAAGGCATATAACATTATGCTTAAGAAACCCTCATCCTTTGGTGAGTCAAAAACAAGTTTTCACCCCTAGCAAATCTCCACAAGCTCAGATTTGTGCCTGTCTGCTTTTAGAGATCTTTCAAGTGATCTACAGCAAAATTCCAGTCAGAGGGATTATAGGTTACTTTCATGGCCATAAATTTACTTCTCTCTTTGATAGTTAAGTCACAGGGTGTGCTTTTGGTTTTCTTCTTTTTTTTTTTTTTTTGAAGCCCACTGATAAGGTGCCCTTCAGAGTTCACCTACAGAATTTCCAGTACAGAAGTGGAAACCCATATTACTGCTGTACTTCTGATGGGGTCCATTTTGTGAATGCAGGAGGGCAGCCCAAGAAACAGCTTCAGCTGCTGTTAACTTCCCTTGCAGAAAAATGCCAGAAATGCAAAGAAATCCCTACAGCAGGGTCAGAATTTCAAACAGCAGAATGAAAATGAAAAATGCCAGAAGGATTAAGTTTGTAATCTGCCAGAATCTGCATCTCCAGAGCTCAACCACCATTTTTAATACTCTTTCAGGATGCTGAAATTTTATCAGAAGTCCACCATTTTAGTAATGCTAAAGCAACACCTTGTGAAATTGCTGAGAATGGGCATCAAAAGAGATTCAGCAGCTAAGGAGCAGCACTTGTAGCTTCCTTTCTGAAAATAAGGAGTTCCATAGTCACTCAAATTTGCAGTGTAACACTGGTTCTGCAAACTGCTGAATCTGAGTATTCCTGTTTTTTAGCTGAATATATGCAACTCCTACATACTGTTAATAGGTTAAACATTGGCCAAAGGTACTCACAAAAAGATGAAGCTTCCTCAGAGCTCACAACAGCTGTTAGCTCTCCCCTTGTTCCCGCATGGAGAGATTGATTCACTGCAGTCTGTTGGTCTACACTTGCACCTCCTGTCAGCAAGTTTGTTACCAGGACTTCTAACAGCTTCTCACTGAGTAACTTAAATCGAGTTCTGCTGAGGTACTGTTAATTAGAATATTGCTGTCAGCTGTGATCTCTCTGCAGGGCAAACACAGTGTAAGTAACAGACAAATCAGTGCATTCAGACATTTACCTCTTCCACATGCATGGCACTGCTAAGTTCCTCTAAGGTCTCCTGCAGGAAGATGTACATAAGATACACTAAAGTAACTCAGGAGCTCCATTTGCCAATTATACCATGGAATATATTTTGCAGCATACAAACAGTAACCATATATATAAAATCATTTTCTGTGTACATGATGTACCTTAGCTGAACCTAACTCGAGTACAGCAAGCTTCTGGACTGCAGATATGTCTGAGAAGACGAAAACACGTTGCTTTCACAGCTGATCTGAGCAGTGTTACAGACAAACTTGCAGGAGCTTCAGCTTTTTCCTTCTGGAAGACTGATCACGTGAGAAGTTTCCAACTAATTGAAATTGGTTTTTTTTTCTTATCTGAACAAAGTTCCCCATGGTATCAAAGCACGTTTTACAAAAAGTAAAAAAAATAACAATGCAATAAAGAGTTTTATCTTCATTTTTTCTTCTTTCTTTCCAGCACTGCATGAGACTTAAAGATTTCCTTTAAATTCATCCAGACTCCTTTAGCATAAGTGTTTTTGTAGACAACTTTTCTGTCACAAGGCTGCAGTGTTCGATGATGGGAATGCCTGTATCTTCTGAATTTGTACCATTCATTGAAAGTTTGGTTGGTTAAGGCCAAGTATAGGTTGAAACAGAAGTATGCACCCAGTATAAGTGTGAGAAGAATAACAAAACCAAGCATGAAGACAATCCTAGGAAAAGTCAAGAAAAGGTGCTGCAAGGAAAAGAAAATAATGATTTGGTTATAAAGCTGGGCTATTAAATCATATGGCTTAAGAGAGCATTCGTTACATATCACCTCACTGCCATGCTAAAGAAATGGATGAAGGGAATGAAAAGCAAAATGAAGTACCAGAGTGACTCAGCCACTCTTTGCTTAAATGTGTGAGAAAATATTCGAGGATCTAAATTTAGGATAGAAGGGTCCTGCTTTAACATACTTATCTCAAGGATTGATGGCCATTTCCGAAACGAAACTAAAACAGATGGTCATTGGAATATAGCCATTTTCATGTATCAGATCTGCTGAGTTAAAGCAGTGGAGACACAAAAATCCAAATGAGAATGTGAACAAAATGCTACGAGAAAAATCCCGTATTGTTATTCTTCAGTTTTCTAAACCTAAATAGCTGTGTAAGTCAGTAAAAAACTGCCATCTGTTTACATTCTGCCTCTGATAACAGGCAGACTTGAAGATCTCCATAAGCAAAGATAAAGATAAATCTTTTCATAGGCTAAGAGCCCAGCTAGTGTAAGCTTACCTGGATGAGAAAGAAAATCTCAACAGCATGCTGCTGTCCTTGGTCATCAATGTAACTCCCGTGCATCATATTTGACAGCAGCACCACTTGGATGAGAAATGCTGTAGTGATGACTGCAATGGTCGCAGCCATCACAGTCAGTGTGAAGAGGTAGAGGAAGAAATACTTTGCATTGAAGGCACCGATGCAGTTGTTGACCCACACACAGTGGTGATCAAAACGGTGCACACAGATATTACAGAAACCTGATCACAAGTGAGCAACAAGGCAAGTTCAGTTATTTGGTTTTAAGAGATTGATTCAATTTTTACACAGTTTAGGACAGCACTGCATTCAAGAAAAAAATGAGAATTGCAGTCATGATTTGGGTGATAGTGTAAATTAAAGGGAATTCAACTACTTACCACCAAACAAACAACATTAAAAACAAACATGTGTACCTCATTTCTTAATTTACCAAGACTAGAGCTCAAGTATTTTGCTTTCTCTGGCAGTACTGCCTAACACAGCATGTGAAAGGTATAGACTGTAACTAGCCTGCTTCATTTTAAATGATGATGACTGCAGCAAATTCTGCTAGTAAAACAAGAAATTCTGAACTCCTGTCAGACAATAATTTTTATTTCACCTCTAGATGTTCAACAGCTTGTCTATCCCTGGCCCAAGGCAATACCTTCAGAACTGGTCTGTGAGAACAAGTAATAGCACGAATGGGCAAAGAGCAGCTGTGATGTGGAACCCTGATGAAACTGAACAAAATTCTACGTGCAATGAACTGGGTAATAAAACAGATGCAGTATGAATTGCAATTACTGATAAAGAATTAATTTGGGAATGTATTATTTTGCTTGTAAAAGAAGTTAAAGTTCTTACTGCAATGTTTTGATCTGGCTGGCTTTTCCACGTTGCATGTAGCACACACAATGCCTTTCTGAAATAATACACCATCATACGCATAAGTCTTCATCAGTGATGCATGATTTGATTTTGTTATTATACCTGTGAAAGAAACAAGGCAAAAAAGTAGAAGTATTGGTACTATCAACATTTAAAGGTTCTATTTTCAAACAGCCACAGCCCACATTCAGCATGAGCTTACCAGGATTGGCACAGGAGCACAGAATGAAGCAGCCCATGTTCCCAAACAGCAGCAGGTAGGGCAGCAGCAGCAGCACAAGGTGGAACTCCAGTTCCCAGCAGTAAACAAACACTTCCCATGTGTATTCAGCATAAACTGCTGCTTGCAAGGCTATGTGCAGGACAACAAACAAATAGTTTCTGCAATAGCAAGGAGAAGGTCTAGTTAATATTCAGCATCCTGATCAACAGATCAAATAGGCTCAGGGAAGACTTTCCAAATGCAAGGAGACACCTCTTTCAGGTTTTCAGGCCAGCACAGATTGCATATTAAGTGTTCTCTCCACCCAGGAGCTTCACCTTCTCTTCGTGGCACTCCTTTAAATACGCCAACTAAACTCACATCCATTATCAGCACATCCTTTGGATTAATTTCCACCAGCTAGTCAAGCGCAGTCTCACAGTCCCCTGGTGCTGCCAAAACATGCCATAGCAATAGGCTATAAAACATTCTGCCAAAATACATTTGCTGTGTACTGCTATAAAACAGCGAGGTGAAGCAGTGGAACAGTTTGCTTGAAGGATCAAAGTGCCTCCAGCACAAATCGTAATCTAGCAGTGACAGCTACACCAAGCTCATTAGATAATTGCTCTGTTGCTGACTGCACATTCAACAGTGAAACCATTCTCTCTAGGGCAGTGTTAACTAACACCAGAAAATCTGCACAGCAGGAAACAAACAGCAGTGGTGTGCATTCAACAATTGGAAATATTACGCCCCTAAAGTACATGGCATACTTGAGTTTCTGCCCCCACAGGATGAGTATTTAAGAAGTTTCTGAAACAGATCTTAAAGCACCAGATCTTACAGGATGCTGCTAAATTCACCTCAATCCAGCAGGCTAGACATTGGCAGCTTCCTGTGAGCCACCCGCACATCCAGGCTGCAGGGTGTAATGGGATTTGAGGGGGAAGAGAGCAGGGATCAGCAGCTCTGCCTGAACTCATTTTGCAGCTGCCAGGGAGTTTGCTGTAATTCTCCCATGGATGTGGTTTACCACCAGTGTGATCAGCATCTGTTACAGTGGAAGTTGCTGAGCTACATTATTCATCAAATACATTCAGATGTTTCAGAGAACCATCTTCTCAACACAAGTAACAGCAAGGCAACAGCCTGACAAACCTTAATGGGAATCTGTAATCCTGATAATTTCCTGTAATTTCCTGATGGAAAGAGAACACCTAAGGATAATACTAACAGGACACCAACTGTAATCAGAAATATTAGCAAAAAATAATGTCAAAAGCATTAAGTAAATGTGCGTTACCGTGTGTGAAAGAGCCTGAGGAGCACCTTCTGTGTCACACTCTGGAGCCGAGTGGGGATTACTAATGACAGTACCTGAGGAAAATAAAAAGACTGTGTTTATCTGAATTGCACACCACTGCTACCTTGTGCACTGTTCAAATAAAAAGGTAAGTCGCTAATCCCTCAGTTATAGATCACTGCAGCCATATCACCAGGGAGGATGCTCATTTCTGGGGGCACACGAGCTCCTGATGGGCATGTTGCTGGGGCTTTCAAAAGGGAAGAGACGTTCTGCATTCTTGGAAGCCCAGCAGGCATAAACAAATGTATCTGGGTTAATGTGTGAAAGTTATAAGGAGCTTTTATCAGGTTATAGACTGTTTAACTGGCTAAGCAGGGGATAGAACTGAGCAATTTCTGAACTACAATATGCTTCATTGGGACATCTAACAGATGTAAGGGGAGATAAGCAAAGAGATAAAGCCTGCTGTTCTCCAGAAAGATCAACAATCAAATATAGGAAACCAAAAAGCAAAACAAGAAGTCAACAACACACACCCCAGTTCCTTCAGCTACAGCTACAGCTCAGTTTGACAGCTCCACATCTGCCTAATTGGCATTTCAAAAACAGCCAGACACGGGGAAGAAGAAAACTGCCTGTCTTCATTCAGCAGGATCCTCTGCAACTGTGTGTGACTGGGGAATTGTTTGGCTCTGCTGTTCAGAAGATGACATCTCTATAGCAACGCTCTGCTTTATCAGTGGAAGAAATAGAGCAGCTGAGCCTATTTCTAGCAGACAGGGAAAGAAAACAGAGTCACAGCTTTTTATCTCGGATGTGAAAGACCAGAAGGCAAAAGACATATGTAGAGTTGAGAAGATGCTCAATATTTTTCTTTTAACTGGTATGCCTCTTATCAGCAGCTCTGGTTACAAGTCTTTTCAAAAGAGACTGCATAGTGCAGCAAGGAGACATGCTACAGACAGAGCTACACACAACCTACCACACAACTGCAGAACGAAAACTAAATCAGCTGTGTGTTAATTACAGCTTAACCTTACATTCAAACCCATTATTTCCTCACTCACAGAACATCAATTCCTTGTAATTCAGTCCTTTCCTAGAGCAAAGCAAAATGCTCTCATGGTGGTGACAGAGGTACAAGGGGATGAGAGCCGTGCAGTGAGCACAACCACCCTGCACAACTGGAGCCCAGCAGGCAGATGGGGGTGGGAGATGTTGCAGGGCTGGGAACAGCTGTGCTGTGTGCATGTGGGTGACTTCCTAACACACAGAATAGTGTAAAGGATCTCAAAGGAGCACAGCAAAGAATGGCAATGCACTTCCAGAGTTACGCACTTCGTTCATTAGGGCCAGATATAAAAAAAGATAAAGTGCCTAGAGACACTATTCAGGACTACCTTTCTCTATTTCACGCACACCAGTATCAATTGTATTTCTCCAAACGGGGAGCTTAGCTGCTGATTGCCACGTTTCATACAAGTACACATTCAGAAATGTGGGGAAACAATACATTTCTCTCCACGGTGATGAGCAAAAAGCTGATACTGGGAATAAAATAGGATCAAAGTCCGCTTAGACTCTCATAAATTGCACAAGTTCAATAACCGCTTTAGTGTAAAGCTGTTCCCCCAGCCCCGCCCCGCGGCCCCGCTTCGGAGCCCCCCGCCGTGCTCAGCCCTTACCTGGCCGGCGCTGCGGGCTGCCCTGCCCAGGCGGCCGCCCCCGCTCCCCGCGTGGCTGCAGTACAGCACGGCGACGGCGAGCACGAGGCACAGGTAGAGCAGCAGGAGCGGCAGAAAGTCCATGCGCGGCTCCGAGGGCCGGGGCCGAGGCTGCAGGGAGGGCCGAGCCGGACCCGGAGAGCACCGAGATCCTCGGCCGCCCCGGAACTGCGAATCGAGACAGAGGCACCGCACCGCACGGCACGGCTGCACCCGGAAGCGGCGGCTGCGCCCGCAGTGCCGAAACGGCTTCAGCGGGGGGAGGCCCGCAGGCGCTGCACAGCGCTGAGCTGCTGCCCGGCCCTCGTCCTGTGTCCGCAGAGCGAACCGAGGACGAAAGCAGGCGAAAATAAAAGCGAAAGCTCTCGTGTCAGAGCGCTGTGCGGTTCTCGCGGTCCTGCGTGGCCCCGCTCGGGTGCAGCTTTGTGAGGTTGCTGAAAAGCCCTCGTGTTTGCTGCTTGTGGGGTGTTTGGTTTCCTGGTTTCTAACGGGAGCTCCAAGTGTTACGGTGCTGTTTAACAATGAATTGAAGAAACTTTACAGCAGAGTTTTGTTTTCGTTCAGCCAGGCGTTCCTTATTACAGTGCTGGGAAGCACTGGGGGTATTTCCACCGTGAGCACTTCAAATTCCTCCATTATATGGTACATGCTCATCAATTACACATGAAATAATTAACGTATACACACCCATCTCAGGTAGTGGTTTATGAGGTTTTCACTCTTCTATTCCGCAGTCTTTTCCACTGCCTGGCATCCTTCTAGCATCAAGACAGTCCAACCAACTGTTCCTTCATCCAGTGGTCTTCCTCACTCACCCTCTATATGGACTTTCTTCATCGATGCATGCTTGGTAGGAGGATGCCAATTATCAGTAATTCGTAGGTACCAAAATCATAACATTTTCTCACTTAGTACTTGGCTATTATTTCCAGACATCTGCTCGTCCTTGGGTAGAAATAAGTTTGGCAACCTGTGTTTTAATGATATATACTGGGGTGTTGGAAGATAAGGAAGTTAGAGGGGAGTATCTTGATGTCTGCCTGTTGCGTCCCAACATGCTTCCACAATGAAACATTTCAGCCTTGTGTAGAGGGCTTCTTTTGATGTTTGGTAAGCCTACTCACATCATCTCATCCCTGTGTTTCTTTTGCTGAAGGTTTCTTGTTAAAACAGAACAGCCTTACTTTCTAGTCAGTAATGCTACATCCATAACTATTAGAAACAGCTATAAGCTATTACAGTTTTGCAAGCAAGAATTAATTACAGAATGCAACAATTCAGCAGCTGTGTTTCTAAAAGGACACTACTAAAATATACGGTATATTTACTCCTTCAAATCAGCTATTTCTAAAAACATGTTATAAAACATGTTGCGGCCTTCTTCTTCAAAGCAACAAGGAGCTTCCTCAAGAACCAGCCCTAAAATCAGGTCCTGGCGCTGGATGGGAGCGGATGGGAGCCCAGTGCTGGCTGCTGCCCATGGCTGTTAGCTGAAACCACCCCGGCCTGGCCATGCCGCCCTGCTGCCAGCACGCAGCGATTGGGTTACTGTGCTGCGATAGTTTGCCACAGGAACTCAGCCAGGTGCTGCTGCCAGGTAACTGATCCAAAGCTCCGCGGCGCTGTGATGGTTTTGCCAGCTGATCCTCTGGGCACGCAGGTAAGGGCTGCAGGGTGCTGGGAGATGAGAAATGTGCTGGGCAGAAGGGGCTGTGGGGTGTGAGGGGCATTTCCCAGTTTGGATCTTGTTTTCCCTGATAAGCTCCTTTCGAGCAGCACACCGAGCTGGGGTCTGAGTGCAGCCTGGAGCAGCAATCTGCAGCAATCTGGGTCGTCATCAAGAGCTGTTTTTGTCCTCCTGATCATAGCACATATTCTGCACAGCTCTGGGTACAGCTGTAGGTTTGGGATGTTGGAAGGAACCATATGTATTTGGTGCAATGCTACGCTTGTGGGACACTCAGGGCTGTGCCATGTCTATGCACAGCAGAGCTGCATCCTGCTCTGCTCCCAGGCCTCCTGGGCTGTGCTGGGAGAAAAACAGCAGCAGAGGATTCAACCGTATGGTGAGCCTCAGCACAGAGCTCGCTCAGCCTGAACACTGTGAAAATCAATTAAAAGCTTTTTCTGATCCAAGTCTGGGAGATCTTCAAGGAACCACTTGCTATCTGTGCATTTAGATTGGAAGCTCACAACTAATTTCTTGCAAGGATTAAGAAAGAACATCTCTTACAGTTGTGCCAGTTGGTCGGTCAGCAGCTCAGACCCCTGACACTTTGCAGGAGTGCACTGAGGTAGCAGCATGCAAGCACCCAGCACACCAGCAGTGATGAGCAAAGTACAGTGTGCAGCCATGGGAGCTCTGCAGCTCCCTTTTTTAAGGATTTGTGCAACCCCAGGTAGCCCAGGTTTCTGGGAAGCTGCTCCATGTCACTCACCAGGAAGGCAGGATGGCTCTCTGCACTGTATGGGGGTGTGTTGTCCCTCTGCAGCCTCCTGCTCCTGCTGGTGCTGCAGCAGAACATGTAATACCCTAAAACCTCTTAGCATGCTAAGCCCTGGGATCCCTAAGTGCTGAGGAAGGAAAGGAGAAAATCAGAAATAGCAGCTTATGGGGGAGCTGGAGGCAGCATGGGGTCTGCGCTCAGGATGTGCCCCATTGTGAGGAGTTCTGCCCTGCTTCTGGCAGCCTGGTGGAGGCAGCGCACTGAGCAGCACCCCACAGCCAGTGCGGACCCAGTTCTGCAGCATGGTGTGTGTCGTGGAGTGGACACCTCTGCAGCCTCTGTACTCCTACCGAAATCCCAGCCCCAGGGGCTCAGAATGATGCATCCCACTGCTCGGCACAGCCCATCTTTGGATTTAGCCATGTGGGTAACGGATTTCCCTCCATGGGATCTAATCCGTTGTACCTCCCTTCAGGCCCTAATCTCCTTGAGCTGTAGGCTGAGGTCAGTGCAAGGCTCAGCCAGGGCTGGCGCAGCTATTGGTCCATCCGTAGTTCTCCCTGTGATAGCAATAAAGGCAATTAGGGCAGAGGGAAATAAAGGCAAAGAAAGCATTGCTGGGTGCCCGGCCTCGACCTGGAGCACCTGGGAGGGCTCAGCTGTGCCGTGAGTATATGGGGACACGGAGCAGCCGGCAGGGACCTCACTTGGCCATGTCACAGCAGCACAGGTGATGGAGGACAGCCGGGAACACCAGGACCTCATGGTGGGACAGACCTGCCCTGTCGGGCTGACTGGAGAGGAATTCTGTAAGTGCTGTAGCAGTAGGATATGGAGGTGGAAGGATGATGTGACCATGGCCATCAGCCCCGCTGTAATGTAGTCAGCACTGTGTGGAGGAGGGCATGGTTATTATCTTTAGTGCTGGTTTCCACAGAGCATTTAGTCCTTTTTAGCACTTCCTGATGAGGATAGCACCTGCTGTGTCCTTCCAATCTGCAGAGCAAGAAACTCAGAATACATTCCCAATGATGCTTCAGAGTGATTCAGTTTTCAGAGTTCCCCTAAGATAATTTGCCCAGATAAAATAGTCTGTTTCATTTTTGTAAACGCTTAATGTGAGTTAAGTAACATGGATGGAATAAACATGGGAATAAAAAGCATCTTCAGGCGGCTGAGATCAAATGAAGTGAAGCTCCGCATGCAAATTAATTGAGCGAGTGTCAGCAGACAGCAAATGCGTGTGCACTGCAGCAGAACCTGAGGGGCTTGGGAAGACACTGGCTGTGCTGATCCCATCTGGGGCAGAACGTTCTGCAGAGGTTTGGGGCTGCTGCACACTGAGCTCTCTTCCCCACTGCATTCACCAAGTGGATCCTAATACTGAAACTAACTACAAAATCAGAATTTGGAAATCATCATTTGTGTTTCAGGGTGCTGTAGCCAGGTTAGCACAGGGACACATTGGCCTTCACTTTCTGGGCAGGAAGAGATGCTTCAGGGGGCTGAGAGGGTCTGGCAGATGCTGCTGGAAATAGGGTTTGTAGCACTGAGTATTGAAAAGAGGCACTGAATGTCAGTTCACCAACACAGTGTGAATGAAGTAATGACCTCTATGGACACACAGCAGGTGCCCTGCTCCACTCCCTGGGCTGGGCTGGGTGCATGCCACATCCTCACTGCTAACTGTGGGAGAATAAGTACCATTTAGGGGGAAATACAAAAGAAAATTTCCTCTCCTGAAGCATTTTTGTGCCCCAGGGTGCAGTGTCATGGCACACCCAATGCGGCATCTCCAGCAGAAAGCACCACTCTGAACAGAACGCTTCCACACCACCGCCTCCCTTTGTGTCTTGCAGTTGCAGCCATGCCGACAACCAACCAAGGCTGGCCAGAGGCGTTTGGCTTCTCTTTGGGTGGCAGCGGGCCCTGCTACGTGCTGTGGGTGCAGGAGGGCAGCAGTGCAGCAGCGGCAGGGCTGCGCCCGGGCGACGAGGTGCTGGAGCTGGAGGGGCAGCCCGTCGCCTCACTGGGCTGCCCGGCGTTGCTGGCATTAGCCCGGCGCTGCAGCTCCGTGCCCCCCAGCATCGGCGTGCTGTCCAGGCTGCAGCGTGTTGACCTGCCTCCAGCCCCGCACCTGGGCTTGCAGCTGGTGGGCGGCAGCCCCCCTCGCGTGGCCAGTGTGGCCCCTGGCTCTCCTGCTGCCACGTGCGGCATCGCTCCTGGGGACCTGCTGCTGGAGGTGGACGGCGTGGCTGTGCGCAGTGCCGAGGCGGCGGCCGAGCTGCTGGCATCCTGCAGTAGGCGAGCGCTGCGACTGGGGCTGCTGCGGCCGCAGAGGGACCTCGGCCCCAGCGCTGCTGCTGTGCGCATGGAGAGGAAGCAGAAAGCGCAGGAGTTCAGCAAAAAGGTAAAGATGGGGTGTGAGGGGGGCACCCAGGTGGAGCTCAGCACCACGCTCCTCACATCCTGTCTCTGGCACACCCACACGAGGACACCCAGGGCAGGCTGATGGGGGTGGATTCATGGAATCGTAGGAATATTTGGGTTGGAAAAGACTTCTACTGTCATCAGTGCCAGAGAGAAGGGACCCATCTTGCAATGATTGCTGAGAGAATAAATGGGTGCTATGAAGAGCTTTGGGATTGGAGAGTGCTCATTCTTTTTGCTCTATGGGACCACATCAACACTTCCTGAGTGCCCTCCTTCTGCCTGAGCATCCCCGTGCAGTCCTACTGTGTGAAAAGGGAGAAACAGTGCTGCAGTGACATCTTCATTGTGCTCCTGAATGCTGCCTAGTGGGTAATTTACCAAACATCACCCTGCGCTAATTATGAATTTGATCGCAGTTGTTTTTTTTAATCTTTCTAATTTCCATTTCAAAGCAGCCTTTTAAAATGCT